GGGGGGGGTCAATGCTTTGTGTTGTTGTTGTTGTCTCAACGCAATTTCCTCTTCCCTTTAGAAACGTGCTGTTCTCCTTACCTTTACGTTACAACAACAACAACACCACCACCAAAAATAATTAAAATTAAATACAACCGAGGCCGTCCTTACGCCCGTTAACATAAGGTGGCAGCGCCACCAACAACAACAAAAAAGAGCACTTGTTTGTTTATGACTTGTCGCAGAAAGGAGACCAAACAAACACTCAAAACGCGAGAAGGACTCGGAAACGCACGACCGAATGCCTTTTCGATTAACCCGACTACAAGATCCCCCTCGAACGGTTAATTTACTTTGTTGTTTTTTTTAAAGAGAAAGACTGCGTTTATAAAATGTTCGGGATAGATGGTCGTCGTAGCTTCTTCCCTCCCTCCCTCCACCTCCAGTCCTTTTCTCTCGGCGGACCCGTCACCCGCACAACTCAAGCGAAATTCGGCCCCGTGGAAAAAAAGGAAAAACTACCCAAACAGACAAAAGGTCGGCTGTATGTGCTCAGTTTGTACCCCCCTCTTCTCCCTCTCATCACAACCCCCCGGAACCAGCGACAGGGCCGTGCTCCCCCCACACGACCCAAACCCACCTCGAACCTGCTCCGCGACACCCCGTTCACCTCCTTCCCCATCCTGGAAGGCGCAGTTCCCGAGTGGACCCTGGCAGCCGTGCCGTGCCGTGCCGTGCCGTGCCCGCTCCAGCGAGTCCCCCCTCCCGGCTTCACATCACCAGCGCCGCCGTGCCGCTGATCTCGGAGACGCCGTCAGCCCTCCGACTCGCCGAGCTCTCCAGCCCTCTCCTCAGGATCGCGCCAGACGTGTCCTCGGCGACTCACGACCGGGTCCGCTGAAATTATTCGGGCCCCGGGACCAAAACATGCCGCCTTGCTCTTTATTATTGTTATGATTATCCGCCCCCCTTCCTCAAATAATTACTTAGCTGACTACAGCGAAGTGTCACTTCCTGCCGACCTCCTCATTTCATCTGGTCTAAAAGCCCAATGATTCAACGCGTAGTAGGTTGGACACTTCATTCGTGTTCCTACTTTTGTCACATTCATACACATTTCTGAGGCCCCCTTTTTAATGGAGAAGCATCTGCTTCCCTAACAAAAAAATGTGTTTTTTTTACTTGATCTGTTTTATATTAAACAATTCAAATGCAAAATACGTTTATTTTTTATTGTTGACGTATTTCAGTATCCTTTTATCGAAGAGGTTCTGTCGCTTTAAAGGCCTGTGTTGCGATTGGCAGGTTTATTTTCCTTTTCACCAACTAAGACTCGGAATTTGACGAAGGCAGTATGTGGGTAGAATCAATGGCAGGAAAAAAATGCATTCAAAATATTTTGTGCGTTTCGAAATGCGTTGGGCGATTATGGTCTGAAATAATCAAATTAACTTTTATCATCCGTCCAATTTACAGAACTTCCTCTTTCGGTTACCTCCGCCCCCTGGAGCCACAGGAGCCAATCAAAATACACATGCGGGCCTGATGGCGTGATGTCATTATCGCGGGAGAAACAAGCGTGGAGGCTCTCTATTTAAAGAGCCCGACGTGCGCGCTGATTGGTTAAAGTGGGACACTGCAGTCAATTCGTTATTTTTAAGAGAACGTTTTGAACTGTCAAATCCATCATATTATTTTGCCTTAGAAGTTTAACTTTCGATTCCTGTATTTCGACAGTCCAATTATCGTTTTGAACCCACAACGGAAAATGGCGCCCTCTTCACTAACGAAGAACAAGATGTTTAGTTCCTTTTAACACCACACAGGAATAGCCAAGTTTGGTAACCAAAATTAAGACAAAATGCATCCTTTAGAGTACAGAAAGGCAGCGAAACATATTTGTTTCTGAAATTCCATGTGCAATCTTAAAACAACAAATGCACTTACAGTTGATCAAGCTGAAATATTTAATTAATTAAATGTATATCCTCTAGTCTATTTTAACAAAGCCCCTTTTCTCTAATGTAGGGGGGATCCTACTCTAAATAACAAAAGACAGGCTTATCACACCTCGAACAGTTAATCTAACCCTTCCCTGTGTTCCTAATTTAGGTTTCTGAAACTTAGAATCATTTCTTGTTGAGAAAGAACACATTACCCTAAGGTTATTCCCCAGCTGGTTGATATTTTGTAATTGTTACAGGATAAAAAATCAAAACACGTTTTGTAATTTTCACAAAGAAATGTTTATTAAAATTGGCATATCAACTCCCTTTGTTTTATAAAATCAAATATAACCTTTGTGTTTTAAAAACTGCACATTTTCAGCCAAATCATTCTGCGCAAGTGTAAAATCATTAAAATGTTTTAATGGAACATATTAAAATGTAAAAGCTTTATGGTTTTATGTATATACAGTATTTTTTTTTAAATACAATAAAATGGTAAAGCTGACTTTTGTAGACGCCACATTATTCGGGAATACAGAGCTTTTTATCCACACGAGGTTCCATGAAATTATTTGCACTTATTGTTTTGGACAAGGTAAAAAAAACAAAAGAGCAAGCTAAAGAAAATGTTTAGGAGTAAAATCTGCTTGGTGCAAAGCCAAGATCTTAAACTTTAGCATTCAACCATCCATATTAAGTGTGTTTTCAAAATGCAGATAAAACGGTTGACAACAGCCCTCGAAATAAAAACACCATCTTTTTTTATGCAGCTGATTTCAAGCAGCGGTAAATGAAACCAGTTGGATGTTTCACTTTTCAGTGAAGAAGCAGTCCTACAACTAAATTACAAAGCAGAAGAAACAACTTCAGTCACACACTTCTGCCAACTGGATGCAAACCACTTTCCGAACAGAAAACAAGAAGGAATTCGATTTCAAAGACTTGCCAAGATCACCATCTTCTTCCTCGACACTGCTTCATTTCCACTGTTACACAATTCCAAAAACTGCCTACCCTGTATACTGTCTTAAAAGATTTCAGTCACAAACCCCCTGTTGATAAGACACCTTTTCTTCCCCCCAAAGGCCACCATCTTCAATTGTCAAGAAAGGTCCTTGGACTACACTGCTTCCTTAGAGAAGTAGCTCCAGGCTGCCCAAACTCCATCCGACGTGGTGTTGCAAGAACAGGCAAACTCTCTCCCCCTTGTTGCTCGAGAAGGGCTTCCGTTTGGCTCACAATCGATTTGAGCGCGTGTCAGATTGGCTGAGTTCCCTTTCCCCCCGCACTGGAGAGCAGCCTCCCAGGGGAACAGGCTCCCCACCTATTTGAAAGAATCCAGGTTGCCAGTGAGGGCAGAGTCCATGAGGTCATCATCCTCTGTCCGCAAATAGGCCGGGCTGGGCCGGGCTGGCCGGTCGGACCCCAGGAGGGACAGCGAGGGGTCTGGGGCCGCGATGGGGGAGCGGGACCAGCTGTCTGCTTTCAAGGGGTGCGAGGAAGAGGTGGAGCAAGAGGAAGAGGACTTCTTCTTCTCCTTGTCTCGGTCCCGCTCCCTCTCTCGCTCCCTCTCCTTCTGTTTCTTCTTCTCCTTCTTGTGCTTCTTGTGCTTCTCCCCAGAGCTGATGGGCATGGAGCTCATGTACTCATGGGGGGGCTGCAGGGGGCGCAGCGCCTGGTCGTCGTCCGAGCTGGGGCTGTTCTGATGGGACTTCTCGGCCACGGAGCTGCTGCCGGACTCGCTCTCGCTGTCGGGGTTCAGGGGGGTGTAGCCGGGCGAGCGGCCGTGGCTGGGGGAGCAGCGGTCGTGCTTGGGGGTGGAGGCGCTGAAGAGGGGCGAGCCGTAGGCCTTGGGGCCGGAGAGCTGGGACCTCATGGCTTCCCCCGAGCCCTCGCCCGGTTTCTGCAGGGTCACCTTGGCCTTGATGCTGGGGGAACCCCCGTCCGGCTTGCTGATGATGATCTTGGCCACCCCGGTGCTGCTCACCACCCCACTCTTGGAGTCCAGCGCCTTCTTGTCGCCTGACCCCACTCCGGACATGGACACCTTGGACTTGCTCTCCTTGTCCCCTTTGTCCCGCTTGCTCATGTATTCGCCCCCATGCTTGGAGGAGGGAGGACCG